CACTCAACAAAATTACTCGATTCTGATTGGACAAGAGGAGTAGAATTAAATCTCAAATTGTACTCTGTAGAGTCCCAATTAAGTTGCTCAATTTTTTTGAGCGTATTATAAACAAAAAATAGCACAATGTTCTCGTATAATTCGGAATTTATAGATTATAGTGATGTTTCGAAATTTCTCAAATTGGACTCGCCTAAAAGGCTCGTCCAATTTTGAAAACTTTCAAAACATCACTCGTGCCTATAAATTCCGAATTGACCTAATTCACTATGACGTCACTGCTTGTTTATGTGGGGGATAGAATCGCCAAATCCAATAGAAAATTCAACAGAATTTGCTCCTAGCGAAACAGTTTAATCTAAAATGGCCTGGTTTTCAGATATAATATGTGTTAATATGTACTAAAAAATATTCTTGAGCGTTTGCTGGCTATTATACTTCTCTTCGTGGATTGATACGGGTTTTAGAAAAATTTTCGGTGAATTTGCGTTGATTTGACTCCCTCCGACGACCATGATCCTTTACGTTTAAACAATAGATTGTTGAAGATTGTTTTGATGTGACGTCATAGTGAATTAGGGCAATTGTACTCGAGGTCGTGCGCAGTTTCCTAAACGTATTTTGAATTGCTATTGGTGCATCTTTCTAGTARATTTTATTTGACCAAATCACGTAACATGATATAAAGTACAACTTTACAGTAGTATGTCACGTGGTTTTAAATTCGCCTCCTTGTCAAATCTAAATCTATCAGTTTTTTCTGTAATCACAGAGTGGGACAATCACGAACGGAACCCCAATCCATGCTAGGTGAAAGCCCAAGATCGAATTGGAATTTAGAAGTTGGTTTTTGCGGAGGGAGGAAAACCGGAGAACCCGGAAAACCCTCGAAGCACAGGAGAGAACCAACAAACAAACTCAACTCACATACAACACTCGAACAGCTCGTAGGGACTCGAACCCGGGTCGCATTGGTGAGAGGCGAGCACTCTCACCGCTACGCCACCCATGCTTCCCTTCACTTTTGCTCTCGAGAAGTCACGTGATAGTATTCTGTCTACAGTATTTAAGTATTTTTAATTCGCCAATTTATGTATATAGCGTGACGCATTTAAAGCAGAATACGTGATAGACCGTAGATATGTCGTGATGCACTCCTGATACGTTTTTTTTATAAGCTCTATTCCTGTTTTAGATTTATCAAGTTATCCGCGCCATTATTCAACAACATTATCGCCAGTGGATGCATCATGTGTCTCACGTCTATCTTCTTGTTTGGAGTTCATGATATCTCAAACCCGGAAACTAACTTCGCTCTGGTTTGCAAGGTATTGTTATTTTAATCTTGGAAAACATTCATTTTGTGTTGCTTTAAGGTTATTTTTCGATTGCACGTTACATCATCGCGGCCTCTCGGGGAAGCGTTGGTGCAATTTAACAAAAGATTTCTTATTAGCATCCATTGTTAAAGACACCAAAATAACCGCCATCATTGTGTCTTTTGACTCCCTTGGGAATGCTTGCAACCAATTAATTCGTCATGGGGCGAGGTTGGTTGGGAGTTGATGTTTGTAGACTGAATGATCAGGCTCTCAGTAGGAACTCTCCAATCCTTCCCTTCTCACCCACCCCACCTCACCCCACCCATCCTCACCAAGGCTAGGAATTCTGATTACGCAGTCTTTAATATAAACGTAAAGGAACTGCAATTTAAGATTTTATTATATTTCAAGTTTAAAGTATATTTAGATCATTTCATTTTTTTAGGCGAGAGCTTGGACTCTTACAATTGGATTCTCCTGCGCTTTTGGTGCGATGTTTGTCAAAACCTGGAGAATTTATAAGATATGCACAAATAAGAAGCTGCGAGTCAAGGTAGGAAAATATTTCATTGACAAACGCCCGAGTAAACTTGTCAAACTGGCACTTTCATTTTGTCAATCGGTTGGGTTAAGTAAACCACTCACGGCTTGCCCGAGTACGTTAGTTATTGGGTCCATCCTAGGTTACCCAAGTACGACAATTTTGGGTTTTGGGTCTACCTTGAGCTCGAGGTTCCCGAGCAAATAATTTTTTGAGTCCACCTTGGGGTACCCGAGTGAATAATTTTTTGAGTCCACCTTGGGGTGCCTGAGTAAATAATTTGAGTCCACCTTGAGGTGCCAGAGTAAATAGTTTTTGGGTCCGCCTTGGGGTGCCCGAGTAAATATTTTTGAGTCCACCTTGAGGTGCCCGGGTGAATAATTTTTGAGTCCACCTTGAGGTGCCCGAGTAAATATTTTTGGGTCCCCCTTGGGGTGCAGGAGTAAATAATTTWTTGAGTCCACCTTGGGGTGCCGGAGTGAATAGTTTTTTGGGTCCACTTTGTGGTGACCGAGTAAAAGATTTTGGGTCCACCTTGCGGTGCCCGAGTAAATATTTTGGTCCACCTTGGGGTGTCCGAGTAAATATTTTTGGGTCCACCTTGGGGTGCAGGAGTAAATAATTTTGTGGTCCACCGTGGGGTTGCCCGAGTAAATAATTTTATGGTCCTTGGGGTGCCCAAATAAATTACTCATTGGGTCCATCGGATGGGCGAGAGTACATCACTTATTAGGTCCATGGTTGGGTGCCCAAATAAATCACTTATATAGAGAGTCCATCTTTGGGTTGCAGTAAAATTTGCCTAATTTATTGTCGTAGAGTTCTCTCATGTTAGAAACATTTTGGGGATTCCCGAGTAAACTACATGTTATTTATCGTATTATTTTACTTCCTTTCCTTTTAGCTGGGTCCTTTATCAGACTGGTATCTACTATCCCTTGTTGGTATAATCGTCGTTATTGACCTTATCATCCTTATCACGTGGGAACTAAGTGATCCCATCCAACACAAAGAGTTAATAATCGATGAAAATAGAGTAAGTTATGGGTCTTATTTCGTTCATACATTCATTCGTTCGCTTATACATCCATCCATAATTTCATCCATCATTTCATTATTCAATCTATCCATCCATCCATAATTTCTTCCATCATTTCATCATTCAATCTATCCATGCATCCATCCATGCATCCATCCATCCATCCA